TGTGTGTGTGTGTGTGTGTGTGTGTGTGTGTGTGTGTTTTGGGGAGGGGTTGGGAGTGCTCTCTGCTCCATCCTCCCCAGGGCCAGAACTACTCCATTGCTCTGCCAGCCACAGCCTCACTACCGTAGAGACAGGCTACACCCCTCTCTGTATGGGTGACAGCGCTCTTTGAGAACGTCTTGACAGTGCCTTTGTTCCACAGAAATAAAAGAAAATCGCGCTACAAAGGGAAACCTCAGGTAGCTTTTAGCAGGGCTCAGCTGCCTGGGGCAGAGTGTGTTTAAGCTGGAGGCACTTGTCACTGGAGCTTGAGGGGAGTGTCTCAGACCCCGCCCAGTCCCTATGTGGTAAGAGGGTGGGGGGGGTGGAAGTCCCATGATTACGTTTACTTAAGAAAAGAGCTCTTTCAAATAATGGCAGAGGAGAAAAAAAAAATCAATGAAAATTGATAGAGAAATGTAAAACAGGGTTGTGTGTGTGTGTGTGTGTGTGTGTGTGTGTGTGTGTGTGTGTGTGTAGGTGGGGGGGAGAGGGAGAGAAGGGAGGGAGAGAGAGGAAGAGAGAGGGAGGGAGAGAGAGAGAGAGAGAGAGAGAGAGAGAGAGAGAGAGAGAGAGAGAGAGAATTTACTAAGGCCAAAACTGACCCGCTTGGGGCTCCAGGCCCAGGAAGATGGGGGCTGGGAGTCAATCCCTGGCACGTGCCTGCAGAAGGGCGCTGGTGGTTGGGGGGAGGGGTGGCAGCTGAGTCTCTAACTCCAGTTAAGAGAGAGATTAATATATTCAATCTGCTCCAGGGTAATTGAGGGAACAATTGGAGTGTTTTTCTAAAGCCCATAAAACTGCCTCATTTGCAAGGAAGAGCTAGCTGGCTAGCTGCAGTCCGCAGACTTGATGGAGGCAAAAGAGGCAGAGAAGGGACAGCTTTGGGATCCCAGTACACAGCAGCTACTCCAGCCAGGGCAAGGGGCTAACTTGCTCTCTCCTGCCGCACCTCCCATCTCTTCCTTTTTGTGGTCCCAGCATTATTTTCCCAGACCCATCTTCCAACCTGTGAAATGGGTCACAGCATTCTTCTCTTCCAGTTCTACAGCAAGTGGATGCTTTGAAAGACCAGGGGAGTGGGCTCGGGGGAGTGGGCTGGCACTGAGGGATGGGGCATGAACAAAGAGGTGCCCAAGTCTCCCTCCCTACCCCTCCAGACCAGAGTGAATGGGCAGTAAAGAGTGGAGTTAATGAAATCCACATCGTGTGCCTCCCCAGCTTGAACCACTCCAGTCTCCAGGGCAATGGGAATAGCACATGCAATAGCAAGCAATAAAAGGCATAATGAATTTAAAAGCAGCTTGGAGAGGGAGAGTGAAGACTGGCAGGGCTCTGGCCTGAAGCTGGAGGATTCCTGGGGTAGCGAAAGTGCTGGCCTGCAGCTCCAGCCAGAATCAGGACTAGGAACAAACAGGCTGAAGGGGGGTGGGGAGAGGGAGGGAACAAAGGGAAAGAACACTGACTCCCCTGCCACCGAGGTGTAGGGACCAAGAGTCGAGGTGAGGTTAGGCAAGCCACTCAGCTTGTTCCATGGCTGCTCGGTTCTCCTCCACTTCTCCTTAATAAAAGCCCCCAGCTTGTTTAGTACCAGAGCCATAGTCAGAATCCACAGGCTTAGAGCCAGGTGCTTCGCATTGGGTGATTGCTTTATTAGCTTTCTTCCTTTCCCTGTTCCTCCAGGGCAAAATAATAATAATAATAAAATAAAAAGGTGTTTTAAATGGAAGAAATAAAAAAAATTGAAAGTGTCTTTTTAAAAGTCTCCAGGGAAACAGAATCATTTCCATGAAACAAAACTGCAATTGTTTGGGAGAGGTGACTGTGGGGAGGGCTCCCACCACACCCTCCCTCCTCTTCCTGGGGAACTACAGGAGGAAATTGAGGTTTGCAATGGCAGGAATCCCCAAGGTGGCCCCCAGAGCTACTAGCAAGAAATTAAACTCTTGTTTCCAGAAACTTCAACCCTGGGAATTTCCAACCCAAAGTTTCTGTCTTCAACAGCCCTGCCTATGGGAAGATGAGTGGCCTTTGAAGGCATAATGGTTCAGGGCCTCCCCTAAGTCACCCCACCAGGAGGCATACATTTTGGGAGTTGGTCAGAGCTCAGACTTGCCTGCACTTTCTACCCTCTTTCTTCTCAGAGTCCCCTCTGCCTAGCACTGTACAGACCCTGTACCTCCTTTCTGATCATACCCCTTTTTCTGAGCAAGGACAGACGATTAGTCACATGGATTCAAAGCTGCCAGGAGGTGAATTCAGGTATACCAGGTGTGGGCAGGCATCTAAGGAAGGCCTTGTGCCTTGGAGGAGGGTGATAGCCAGTGGCTACAGGGAACCTGGTAGCTTCTGCCTGGGGTCTTCCTTTGTGAGTCAGGGTACTTATGAGCCACCTCCACCCTCAGTCCCTGGCTGTCTATGTTGGAAAAATTCCTGGGAACAGTTCCTGCTAACTGCGCCCACCTCCAGGAAAATATTATCTTAAAGCAACAGCATTCAGTGTGGCCCATTAGAACCAAATAACCGGTGCACCATGCCCAGGAAACAAAAGGATTCAGACTCAGTCAGCAGACATTCATGCTGAGCCCTGGGCCTGGTCACTCACTGAGCCCTGTCCCTGCAACCCAGTTTGATGCCTGCTTGCCCTTCACCCCGTTGTTCTATTGCCCCCCGTCCCATGACCTTCATCTGTTGTGGCTTGGAAAAATGGCACACACTATTAAAGCAAAAAACACTCGTGAAACTGAAATTCTAAACTGAATAGATTGTTGAGACACCTGGTGCCAACAGGGCTGACAATAGCTAGGCAGGAATGGTGTCTATGCTGGGAAGGCTTCCTGGAGGAAATGGCTTTGAATAAAAGCTTCTGTTTCTGGAGCCCAAAAATCTGTTCCTGGACTCGGGAACTGAAGTTGCTGAAGTTGTGCTGGAAGTCCCAAATGAAATTCTCTGTTGTCTCTTCTATTCCTCCTATTCACTGCCTACCTCGTCTTCAGTTGTCAACCAGAGAGCCAGGGGAAGACCCTCTTCCTGGGTAAAATTCCTGCTTCCTTATGAAATCATCTTATCTGGATGTCCTTGTCCCTATCCACATGGCAGGGAGACAGTATGGCTATGAGGGTCCCTATGTTCTAGTCCACAGGTCCAAAGAACTGCTGAGCCCCACTAGCCTTTAGTGCTCTGCCTAGGCCTCCAAGTGACAATAGGGACAGGAGCCTGCCTTCCTTAGGCTGAGCTGCAGGACCGAGTCTGTCTAACTGCAAGCATGTCCCCTGTTCACAAGGAGCCCTCCATTGTCTGTGGGCTCTGGCACTGTCATCAGGGCTGTGATTGCTGACCCCCCACCCCCACCCAAGGGGAGCCATTTTCCTCTCCCTTGAAAGCTATTTTCTTGTCTTGGTAGAAGCAGACATCTGACACTTTAAGAGGGAGTGTGGCGCAGAGATGATGGCTTTAAATAACAGAAATTAGAGCTGCTGAGGTCGAGGCAGCCATCTAGCCAGCCCCCTCCCCCCAGCAGTCCCAACCTCTTTTACCCCCATTTTACAGCATAGCCTGAATGTACTGTCTATGTGGTTCAGGCTGGGCAGGCTGTGCTGGGATCCAAAGAGCAGGGACAGCTTCTTCCTGGGTTCCGATCCTCCTCTCTAGATAGCACCATTAGATGGAGGGACAGGGCACAGGCTCTGGATACAGCGAGCTTTCAGACTCACCCAGGCTACCCATCTCATTTCACAATAGAACAGAACAGAGCTGAACACAGAGGGGTCAGAGAGGTGGGCTAATTAATCCAGAAACGAATGGAGAATGGTTAGAGTGTATTGTGTTAGTAGGCCAGGACGCCTGGGCAAGAGCAGCTGTTCCTGGGTCCCTGACATATGATGCCTGCTAACTTTACCTAAAATCCCTTCCTTGCATCCCCCTCCCGTGCCTCCCTATACCCACTTCTGCTCTCTGTCATGGTAGCGATAGCTTCAATTCCTCCCCCTTCTTCCCTCACTGCACCTCTCTCCATGACCAACGCAGTCTATCTCCCAGCTCTACTCAGTGCTAGCCTAGAGTGTATGCATGTGCATGAGAGAGAGAGGGAGAGAGAGAGAGAGAGAGAGAGAGAGAGAGAGAGAGAGAGAGAGAGAGAGAGAGAGAGAGAGAGAGGGAGAGAGTGAGAACGAGCAGGAGAGCTGTGCCCTTGGAGAGCCACCTCAGGTTGTCCCTTTGCTGCCAGCTGAACCATCCCCTTCTCTTTGCTAGCTTATACTAGACCTCATTCCTGGAATCTTCTCCCCTACGCCTAAAATTGCCACCCCTAACCCTCACCCACCTTGTGTGGCTCTGACACAGTCAAATACGGGATGGAGGAGTGAACAGATAATGAGTGGAGGAGGAATGGGAGACCCCTCTCAAATGGCACATCTGAGGAAGCCTTTCCCGGACTTACACTCCCTCTTCAGAGCATTGCTGCCAGCCTTGAGGGTCATGTGTGATACCCATATTGTTTCCAAATGTACTGTATCTAGAGACAGTCCGTGCTTAGGGACTGACCAGGCCTTGGATTCCACACACCACTGTGTTCTGAGATTCCCAATAAATGTTGAGATTTAGTGGAATCCAGAATCATGGGTATGTTTTCTCCACCTGTGAAGTAAGCTACTATTTGCTCTGTGAATTCTCAATTGAACATGAAGCCTGGTCATGGCCATATTGGGAAACTTCCTATAAAAGGACTAATACTCCTCACCTGAGCCTCACCTGAGCCTGATGCTGCCAAGATCCTGGTTCCTAGCTAAGCCCTTCCTGGTCAGTGCTGGAGCTGGATGGGCTCACAGAAAAGCCTTGTCACTTAGGGCCTCCCTTGAAGTCTGCTGAGAATGTAGGAGATTGAGGCTGGGGATTGTAAGGTGGCAGACAGCAAGCTTTATCAGAGGCCATGTCCTGAGCAAGGACCCAGGAGTACTACCCACCTGTAGCTCTGGATGTAGGGACATCAGTTCTGGCTGGCTGGGCTCCACAAGGCAGTTTGAGACAGAGGACTCAGGGGTTCGGTGCACATGGAAGGCTACACTGTAGGCCAGGCCCCCGCAGTGGCGGGCTGTGGTATCCTCACTTGCTCGGAGAAGAGCCAGGTTGCCACAGTAGCGATAGAGGTCCTCATGCTTCTGTGCTGTGAGGTTCATTCGGGGCTCATCTGGTCGTGGGTAGATGGGGAAGATAGCCTCACCTACCCTCTGGGCCACCTGTCCTGAGGGTCCATCCAGCCTCAGTGCCTCTACACGCAGATGTGCGTCATTCTGCCCATCATTCTTGCAGAACCCTGGGTAGAGAAGATGGATTTGAATGTGGTCTGTGGGGTTCCCTCCCTCTTCCTACACCCTGGGCAGAGAACATGGGTTTGAATGTGGTCTCCAGGGTCTCCCTCTCTCTTCCAGGGAATAAGAAGAGCATTTAGGATCCTAGGGCAACTTGAGATGAACCCAAGTGTGCTTGGCTAAGATTTCTCTTGTGGGTGATTCCTCTCAGGCCTCCCCCAAGGCCTTACCTTTGTCTCATGTGAGTCTACCAGAGTAAGGAAGGAAAAACTTACAGCCTGTGGGAGTCATTCTCGGTCCTGACACCACTCAGGACCAGGGAAGAGTTTGGCAAGTCCCTGATTTCTGGCCAACCTTAATCTTGGGCTTCCACCAGGAAGCCTACTTAGATAGGTCTCATTCTAAGCCTGGATCTTCTAAATTACTTAGCTATTATTTGACTCAGAATTCCTGCCTTTTTGTATCTAATCTGTAAGTTCCCAGAAGGCAAGACCAGGGTCTCCTATTCATCCATGCTGTCCATTCTCCATTTCTATAACCAATGGGTGCTTAGGGGGCTTGTAGCATTAGTCCATGTAACGTTCACTGCTTAAGACTGGCTCTAAGCTTAAGACGTGCTTTGGGCTTGCTTCTTTCAAACCCAAACCTCCCCTTTAGTTCTCCTTCACCATTACCCCCTGTAAGAACAGTGTCAGCATCCCCATGTTACGCTGAAGGAAGCAGGGGCTTTTACAGGGCCAGCATTTGCCCAAGGTCACACAATCACACAGGCACAGCTTGGAAGTCTGTCTAGAAGCCTAGAACCCTGTCTATGGCTCTCCCTGTTCCCTTGAAGCTCCCCAAGGTTTTGACAAGGTCTAGGGCAAAGTCCCAAGGCTCTCCATCCCCCCCCCCAACCCCTGACTCTTTTTTGTACCTTTGGGCAAAGTAAAGATAAACTTGTTCCTGGTGAAGGTGAGGCTCTGCTCAGGGGCCTGCTGCTCAATGACCTCAGTGACAGCAGAGCAGGCTGGGAGGGGGTCCCCATCATTGACTCGCAACTGCACTCCAGCCCCGGAGCCTGCTTGCAGTGGGTTCTCAGCTGACAGCCTCAGGGCATATCTGCCCTCCTCATTAAATCCCACACTCAAGACTTCAAACTCCAGGTCCAATGTCATCTCCTCTGCCTTCAGCCTCTGGCTCATCAGGAATGCAGGAAGGTGGAGATCAGGACCTCTGAAGGCCATGGCTTCAGCCGAGTCGAAGTCCAGGCAGAGCTCTGTCCTCTCTTGCTCATAGTCCCCTTCCACTCTGAAAGCAGACAGATTGGCATTTGAAGCCATACCTCACCCTTCTCTGTTTGTTTGAGAAGGATCCAGGCAACAAGCCAGGAAACTGAGCCTGAACTAGGGAACAAAAGCAGCAATTAATTCTTCCCATTTAGCATTTGACCTTCCAGCAAATATTTATTGAGAACCTACTGTATCCGAGGTGCTGCTTTAGGCATTTTGAATATATCAGTGACCCCAACACATGTTCCTGCCCCCTCTACCCCCAGGCCTGTCTTCCAGTGAAGGCAGTAGGTAGAGATGACAAAGATAAACACAGAACATGTAAACAAATGACAAGGGCCAAGAAGCTAGCTCAGTCAGTAAATTACTTGTTGTACATGCTTGAGAATGTGCATTTGATTCCCAGAACCCATGTAAGCTGGGAATGGTGGTGCATGCCTATCATCTCAACCTGGGAAGGTCTAAATAGGTAGATCCTGGAGCTGGCCTGTCACTCCAGAAAAATCAGTGAGTTCCTGTCTAAAAAAAAAAAGGTTCATGAGGAATAAGGCCCAAGGCTGACCTCTCCATGTGCACATACACATACATATGTACTCATAGACATATACATTCTTAAATATATACACATAGTATATGTACAAGCACACACACACACACACTGCCTCAAATTCTCAAGTATGTAAAGAGATGATATGTTCTATAAAAAATGAGGGGCACGTGGGTATATGGTATTCAGAACTCTCTTATTTCTGGTGAGCATGTCTCTACCTGAGAGTCCTTAGTGTGGATGTGGGAAGGGAGTGTCCAATCAGTATGTGTTTCTGCAGCCAGCTTTCTTTAATCAAGACACACAGCTTCACTTTGCAGAGAGAATTTGGTCTCTCACACCAATGTTGTCAATCAGGAATCTGTGCTCCCTGGTCCTGGGTTTCAGTGATAATCAGAGGATCCTAACACTTCTCAGTAGAGAGCAAGTCTACTGCCACCACTACTGTCTTACCATTATCCCCACTATTACCATCACTACCCCCACCATCATTACCATCATTATCATCACCACCACCATCATCATCACGCTCATTACCTACTGTGGCAAGCATAGCAGTGTGCATCACAGGTACCTGGAAAGAGGGAGTAATGGTAGAAAGAAATACCAGACTCTGGGTTCACCTCAAGAATGAACATTTTTTCTATTTTTCCCACTGCTGTTTATATATTGTTTATCTAGCTACTAGAAACGGCATTGCCGTTTGAGCAGTCTCTCTGACCTCCTAATCTGAGTGTTTTCTTCTGCAGTTCCCCATATATGTGGCCTTGTGTTTGTCCAGAAGGACAGTCCTTGTAGGCTTTACCTCCTGTTCACTGTTTTCTACAGGCATGGGGCCACATCTGGTTCAGAGTTTGTGCTTGTGGAATAAACTTCATACCATCTAGATACCAACAATTACCATCATCACCACCATCAAGAAAACCATTATCACCATACCAATGATATCAATATCACTACTATTAGTGATGCGTTCCACTAAGCAGTTTCTGGGCACCAGCCATTCTTGTGGGTCTATAAAGTGACATGACTATTTCATGTTTTTTAGATGGAGAATGTGAGGCTGGAAGAATGTTCAGACACTTCCCAGAACAAATGACCAGTGAGAATTGAGGTCTGAACCTAAGGAGTACAGTCTAGCTATATATTCCCCTACAAAACATGTCCTAGGAGCAACCCAAGGTTGTGATACCTTCTACTGGGGAAATTTTGTAGCCTGAAGCTGCAGGACAGTTTTGAGTCTGTAGCAGATGCTTACATTCAGTTAGCCATGACAGCTGAAACCATTTTCATTTAGGGAAGAAAGACACTGACAAATACAGATAAGGATCTCAGTGTATGTGGCAGGTTTCCTTTACAACTATCAAATTCAATTTTTTCATTTCCCCAAGGAGACCCCAAGGAAAAGTTCTAGTTACCCAACATTCCGTAGATCCCTTCTCTTTGGGTGTTGGTGCCCCTTCTGTGTGATGGGCAGCAGTTGGGTAGGTGAGTCATCCTGTAGCTCTAGTGGTTTGGAACTCTGGAAGTCACACAGGGAAAAGGGCCACAGAATGGCTGTTTAGGGGAGATGGTGGGTGGTAGGGGCTGCTTGACAACCCACGTGTGGCCAGCCTTGGACTGGAGCCTGTGATTTGTCTCTGCCAGGCCTTTCCTGAAGCAAAGAGGCTTGGTACAAACAACTCTCTTCCCTCATGTGTCTGAAGCCATTCCCAGAGATGCCATAGATGAGGAGCCATCTTGCCTGCCCCAAGACCTGGTGACTTCTTCACACTGTACCCTCCCACCCTTCTCCAGCAGGCAAGGCCTATGTGTAGAATTGTGTCTTCCCAGTTGGTTCTTCCAGGGAGAACTGCTGGCCTCTCTGCTGCCCTCTCCATCTGTTCACAAAGCCTCTGAGGTTTCTTGTTGGCTTCAGCATGCTTTTAGGACCCTCCACTGTCTGTCATCCCATCCCTTTCCAACTATCCCATTCCAACTCTATCTCTAGGGTAGGCTCACTTTGTGTGTTTGTATGCATTACTTAAAACAAACAAACAAACAAAAACTTGGTTGACAGGATGGCTCAGAGGGTAAAGGCACTTGCTACGAAACCTAACAACTCGATTTTGTTTCTTGGTGGAAGAGAACCAACTCTCAAAAAATTGTCCTCTGACTTCCACATGAGATTTGTGGAACAAATGTTCACAAACATACACAATAAATAGGTGGGTAGATAGATAGTGAGACAGACAGATGATTGATAAATAGATAGAAATATAGATAGATGTAATACAAAATTTAAGGGAAAAAAATAAAAATCATGGATCTGGGGATGTAGCTCAGTTGATAGGATACTTGCCTAGCACACATCAAAGCCTTAGGCTTGATTCCAGGACCACATAAAGGTGAGTGTAATACAGGAGGGGGAGATAGAAAGATCAGAAGTTCAAGGTCATCCTTGACTACATCAAGTTTGTGGTCAGATTGGGTTACATGAAGAAAAGAAGCAACAACAAAACGCCAATGATTTTTGAAATTACATAGATACAAATAGATAATGTTTTTAAAGGTATAGTTCAGGGGTATGTTCTCCTTGCTCTGTTATCAAGCCGTAGAACTCTTTATCTCCTAAAACAGAAACTGTTCCCATTGAACAGCAGCCCCCTCCCTGCAGCCCTCATTCCCTGGCACCTTACCCTCTGCTTTCTGTGTCCGGATGCTGTTGGACAGGCCCACTGCAGGTCCTCCTGTGAATGAAGCCTCACAGCACTGTCCTTTCAGACCGGCTCACTTCCCACAGGATAACAACCTAGGGAAGGCTCAGATTGCACCTGCCAGGTCCATCCTGCACCTTTGCACTGCCTGCCTTTGCTGGTGTTGTTCCTCTGCTCACACTGCCCAGTTCCTTCTGCAGCCGCACAAAACCTTTACCTTCAGACCCTCCAGCGACCCTCTCCTTGGCTACCCTGCACCCTTCTTGTCCTGTTGCAACCGATGACCTACCCATCTTCTATTGAAATTTCTTTAGGAAACATGTGACAGTTTGTGTGCCCAGATCAGTAATAGGGACCCAGGAGGTGATTAAAGGATCAAGGAGTGAATGAATGAGTAAATTAATTAGTAAAGACAACTTCACCAGGGCTGGAGAGATGGCTTATCTGTTAAGAACACTGGCTGCATTTCCAGAGGACCCAGATTTGATTCCCAGCACCCACATGGTGGCTCACAGTCCTCTAGAACTTCAGTCCCAGAAAATCCAACACCCTCTTCTGGCCTTTGTGGGCTCTGCATACACTTGATGCACAGACATACATGCAGGTAATACACCCATGAACTTTAAATATATCAATAAGAAATTAAATAAAACTCAGCTTCTATTTGTGGCTGTTTTATCTGGATCCCCTCTGTGAGAGGTAAAGACCATTTGAGGCTTTTGAACTCAGCTTGAGGAGCCTTGGTGTGCCCAAAAGAGAGGAAAGCCGTAATGGACTATGTACTATGTGGCAGGACAGGAGGCAAGGCCCCCTGATGCTTAGATTTTTCAGAAGAGTTCTGGTCTCCATTCTGCAGAGATGGTCATAGCATCTTAGCATATCAGGATGTGAGAAAACAGAGTCCTACCATGCATAGAGAGATAGGACGGAACCTCCCCTTTAACATCTTTCAAAAGTCTAGGGAAACCTCAGCAAACCTCAGGCAAGGCTGTGCTGGGTGGCAGGGCCTATGCCCCTTGAGTATGGAGAAAGGTGCAGGGAATCAGTAGTCTCCGAAGGCCGTCTGACCTCCAAGATACCTTCTGCAGTCCCAGCATGAAAGCCTTAATGGGCCCCTGGACTCCCCTTTCTTCTTAGAAGAATGGCCACTCAGAGGCTGCTAGGGTCTGGAAGAGCCTGGCCTGTAATTAGCCACCCCAGAGGGCCTCTTCCTCTTTCTCACAATGATTCTTTTCAGCCTGCCTGCCAGTGGCCCCCAGGGTTCCTGAGGGCTCTTAGGCCTCCATCTCCAGGCACCTACCTCCCTCTCCCTCTCTGCCTACCCACTCCTGGCCTCTGCACAGAGCTGAGTTCTCACCAAGAGCAGGGACATCTGAGAGTTCCCTGGAAGTTGCTGGGACCTGTGGCTGAGACGTTCACCCTCTTCCACCAGAGGAAACAGGGAAGAGAGCGCAGGTGGGTGGGGAGGGTAGGCTCAGGTTTCCTGATGTCCAGCCTGTGGGATCCATAGATCACCCCATCTCCCTATAGGTCTGCTTCCTGCGCCCTCCCAGCTCCTTCAAAGCTTCCTCCTTCTCAAGCTCATCCTGTTCTCTTCAGGTCTGAGTGTCACAGACTCATAGGGTGACAGGATTGCAAAGTGAAACAGACAATCAGTCTATCGCCACATGGCAGATTGAGAGACTAAGGGCCAGGAGGGCTTGAACTTATAATCATTCAGTTTATAGGTTACAAGCCTATAGGTTAAAAACACAGTTATTTTCCTGCATGGAGGAACCGGCTCCCTGGAAACTATCTCCTGTGTGATA